GATTGGTGCGGCGGCGGTGGTCTGAGGGCGTCGAACGGCTAGCGGCGCGCCAAGGGGATCGGGCACGCGCGATCGATCCCGAGACCGACGCACGGCGGCTCGGCGCGTGGCGAAGTCGGACGCTAGAGAGCGCGCATGAAGGGGAGGAAGTAGCAAAGAGATCCACGGTATTTGTGTGGGATGTGGTCCCCTAGGATCAATTCTAGACTTTGTGCAAGATTGGATAGGGATTGGGCTGTGTTAGTTGGGCTAGTCATTCTGCCGAACACCTTGAAGGCAATGAACAGTGAAATTCAAGAATTTTGAATATTTCCCTAGAAAAGATTTGAATTTAAACTATGAATTTGGAAGGGTTTGACTAGGATTTGAAGTATAGCAAATCCTCATTAATATTAAGATAAACTAAGGAAATAATCTATAGTTTAAAATTTGAGAGAATTTGCTCAAATTCACTAGGGTTTGGAAAAAATAATAATTAGGGTAAATTAATAGGGTTCTAAGGAAGTAATACCTGAACCAATTAAGAATCAAATAGATTTTTAAAACACACTAATTTAATCAAAAGCCAGCATGATGCAGTCAAATTTTAGTTTAAAATTTGAGGATGTTACATAATAGAAATTCGAAATTAAAAATAAGAAATATTATAAGTAAAGTATGGAGTCCATATAAGAATTTAAAACTAACTAAATTCGGAATAAACATAGTAAAATTAAAATGAGAGTTTAGAGTTCGTATAAAATACAATTTACAAATAACTAAAATTCGAAATTAAAAAACATGGGAAGAAGAGTCTAAAGTCAATATAAGAATACAATTTAAAAGTAGCTTAAATTCGAAATTAAAAATTAAAGAATATTGAAAGATGAGTTTAGAGTCCACACATAGATATACAATTAGAAATAATAAAAATTCAGAATTAAAAATAAATAATATTGGAATAATAATTAATATAATTTACAAATAATTAAAATTTGATATTAAAAACAATTAATAACTAACACATATATAAAATACAATATGAATATTATATATTAGTAGTTTCGTAAAAGTAGTATAAAATTTAAAATTTTGTTGTCATTGAATAATACATTGAGAAAACATATATATTATTATATGATAGAAAATATAATGTTGCTAGCTGCGCAATCTGCGCGGACCACCATGCTAATTCTATATTATAATACTAGAATGATACTCTTTTGAGACACATCTAACCTCTACCATTTCTTTAAACTAACCATTTGAAAAATATTATGCTAAACATCAAATATTTATGATCAAAGGGAGCGTATCATTAAGAGCGCTCAAAAAGAGTCAACCATATTTGTTTTAAATGCGTATAGAAATTACCGCGCTAATCAGAAAAATGACAAATGTTGTTATAGTTAGTAGGTCCAGAATACTTTTAGGATCAAATAAACATGGTCGAATTAAAACTTGATTGCGGAAGAAAAAATCTAGTCTATATTCCTAGATTCAAAATCTGGTACAGCCCAAGTTTTGCAACCTAATTAAAGGCGAAAGGAACAAGCGGGTAAAGAGCGGTGAAAAGGATAAGAAATGCAAACACAAAGACATACGAGTTTTTCCTGAGATATCGGAGATTCGAAAATCTCCATTAATTCTTATTGGAGCACACGACACAAGAGAACTCTTGCTCCCCTCTATAAGGTCACGAAGTCCATGGATGCTTGCATAGTAGTCATGGTTCCTCTCTACTCTGGATGGTCGAATGCCAAAACCTTCAAAATGCATCAGGTCTCTTACAAACTTTATGAGAGATCATCGGGGACACCTCCAAAACTGGCTAGACATGCCGAGATGCTAAAAGTAGCAAGATGAAGTCTTCAATTGAAGCCACATAGCTCTATATTCTTGGTTGGTTGCACACTAAGGCTTTATTCATTTCACCGGGGAATACCTGGCTTTTTCACGATACATAAAACAAGAAGAACTATTAGTGTATGATTAATTGAGTATTAAATATTACAAACTTAAAAATATATTTATTTATTTATTAAAATAAATTCTTATATAAAAAATTTATGTAAAAAAGAATTACTCCCTCCATTCCATATTGATCATCATATAACTTTTTTCACCAAACCTAATAAAGTCTTAACTTTTCTATATTTCATTTAATGTTAGTATGTGGTGGGAAAAAAAATCAAGAAACATGTAAACTTTAACTCTCCTCATGCACAAGCAACGAGAGTTTTACTATCCCAAATGAATACGTGCATGAATGCAAACTCAATTCACATGCATAAATGCAATAATACTACACATTAAACGGAGGGGTAGGGTTATATAATGATCAATTTAGAATTTTTGACTTTTGGTTATATAATGATCAATATGGAAGGATGGAGTGCCACTTAAAAGTTCGAGAACGTGCTTACAGAGAATAAGGCAGTATCTAGACGAAGAAGCTGATTCAAATTCAGTCTAAGTCACTCTCGGGCTGAAAGAATGAAAGTGAAGCACTAAACTTGCAAGAATTGATCTACAATTTGCTCTAGGTGCTCTTGAATGGATGGGAAAACATGTAGTACAAATCAAATATATAGTGGAAACCTGAGAACTATCATTGTATAAAAAAATATGCGCATGAGATATCCACGTCACCAAGAGTAAAAAATTTTACTGGCATTTTTAGTAAAAAATTTTTACTCTTGGTGCACTACTACAGAAATGATTTTCCTAGCAGGGACCCTTTTAGATTGTGTGCGGGCGCTAACTCGATCCGCATGGGAAAATCGGCTCATTTTCCGTGTAGTCCATTTAAGAGGACCGCACAGAAAAATCAATTTTTGCAGACGGACATATTAAATGAATCGCATGCAAAAATAAAACTATTTTCACAGGCGAACGTCTTAACTGAACCGCAAGCAAAAATGCATTCCCTCCCACACACTTCAAAATTTCACCTACTCTCTTTACCTTTTTCCTTTTATTATTCACTCCATCACTCCTCCTCTCATCTCTCACCTACTCTCTCTCTCTCATTTTATTATTCTCTCTCGTCACTCCATCACTCATTCTCTCATCTCCTCTCCTCCCCTCTTCTCTGAGCGCGCGGCGCGGGCGGGAGGCTGCCGGCTTGCCGCCTCTCCCCTTGCAGATCCGGCGAGGGGGGGGGGGGTCTTCGGCCGGCGACCACGGGGACAACGGCCGAAGGGAGCTAGGGTGGCGTCGTCGGTGGTGGGGAGGCATGGGGGCGGCGGATCCGGCGGTGGGCGTAGGCGGCGGCAGTGCGCGGCCCCTCCCCTCCCTCCCCTTGGATATCCGGTGGAGGGGAGGGGCGTCTTTGGCCAACGACCACGGGGACGATGGCCGGAGGGGAGGGTGGCGTCGGCGGCGGTAGGGAGGCATGGGGGGCGGCGGATCCAGTGTCGGCGACGGGAGCGGGCGGCGAATCCAGCGTCGGTAGCGGGCGACGACGGCGGTGGTGGTGGCAGCGGTCTCCCAGCGTCTGGATCCGTCGCCGGCAACCGCGGGGGTGATGGCGGCGGGCCTCGGCTAGGGCGGCGGCGGCGGCTGGATTAGGGTTAGGGTTTTGGTTTTGATTTTCTTTTCTTTTTTTGTTTCAACTTTTTATTTTCCCGTGTGGTGCCTTACCCGCATGAAAAAAATCACGATTTTCACGGACCTTTCGTTCCAGACGGGCGAAACAACCGCACGCGAAAATGAGTTTCGACCGTGCGGAAAAATCGTTATCGTAGTAGTGGTGACGTGGATAAATCTCAGCCTTTCATTTTTTATCCGGTAGCTTAAGTTTGCATTGAGTAGATATTTTCTGTGGATGAAACACAAAATGCAGTTGATGGTGGGGCCTGCCATCCAATTGTTAACCGGTGCCAGTGCCACTGTTTCCACGATCAACGTGTTGCGGCTGCAAAAATCACAAAGATACATGCAAATTGAGATATGGAAACGCTGCCCCTACGCTAGCTGCCGCAGCAAGTCTGTACGCGTCAGTTTCATTGACATGCACACTGCTTAGGCTTAGCGCTGACAATTGATCGTACCAAACTAACAGCTCATCAGCGGCAGCAAAATGTACTTGTATATTGTGATTAGGTGACGGTGAAGCATAATTTGCGATTAGGGCTAGCTGCAGGGCAAAGTCTTGTCTTGATAGGCTGGAGTTGCAGTCGTTCAGAACTGATCGGCCATTTTGTCTCGGGAAATGAGCAGAGTTGGGCTCACTTTGGACACATACAAACCGTTATGTTTTTTACGCAGATGGGTGGCTCGTGGTCGTGCCTAACTTAAGATGATGGCAAATGTTCCATGATCGAAGAAAAAATATTGTTCGATGTGCTCCAACTCAGCAAAGTGGTGCATGCATGATCTGATTGAACAGTCAATCACAGATTCACAGTAGGACTTTGTGAACCAACAAAACTGCAAATTGAAGTGCATTATTAGTGCTACCGTGCTAGAAAGATTCCCTTTTATAAGGGCCTATTTTAGGATGTTGCGGTGAATCGAGAAAAAGTCTCACGTTCTAAAAAGAGCTAATGCAACTGTCTTGCCTTAGCATGACAGAAATGCAGGTTAAAAACTAGATGTGTTAATTTTGCTTGGCACGATTACAGTTTGGTTACAAATAGTAGGACCAAAATTTCATTCGAACTTCAAGATTTGTCTGTTTAACTACTTTAAAACTTCAAGATACAAAAAGAAATATATATTAAAAAATAATTTGTCAACTGGTCCAATACGTCTTTGGTCAAGCCCAAGTTGCAATTTACAAACATGGATACACGAACATGCATGCGTATATGCGCGTACGGGTATCCAACCAGCGTCCTCTGCATCGATCTCATCAAAGCAATCTGGCCAGAGTAGGCCATGCAAATTAGTCAACTAATCCAGCTCGAGTTCACGCGAGTTCGGCCACGAAATTCTCTCCCGGAGCATTGATCTGCCCATGCATTGCACGAATCATCAAGCAATCTACGCACACTATATATACGCCGCGAGCTCTGCTTTAATTCTCATCAAGCAACCACTGGTAGTACACTGCAAATATTCCTCTTGCCGTGTCACTGGCTTGCTCTGCTCGATCACGAGCTTGAACTGTGCTTGTGATCAGCGAGCAATGGCTACTCAATGGGTGCTCGTGGTGGTTGCTGTAATGGCCGTGCTCTTCGCCGGAGGCGCCGCCGGCGGGCAGCTGTCGACGAGGTACTACGACGGCAAGTGCCCGAACGTGCAGAGCATCGTGAGGGCCGGGATGGCGCAGGCCGTGGCGGCGGAGCCCCGGATGGGCGCCTCCATCCTCCGCATGTTCTTCCACGACTGCTTCGTCAACGTGAGATCGCATTGCCCATCTTAATTCGCCATTAGTCTTGTTGGGGGGGGAGATGTTTGTGTTTGTGTTAATTTGTGTGTGCGGCTTGGCTGTCGTGTGATGCAGGGGTGCGACGCGTCCATCTTGCTCGACGACACGGCCAACTTCACCGGCGAAAAGAACGCCGGGCCGAACGCCAACTCGGTGCGCGGGTACGAGGTGATCGACGCCATCAAGACCCAGGTCGAGGCGTCCTGCAACGCCACCGTCTCCTGCGCCGACATCCTCGCCCTCGCCGCGCGCGACGCCGTCAACCTGGTACGCTTTGACACAAGCTAACCTCCAATGCAATCCAATCCCAATGCAGCACTTTGACACAAGCTACTCCGATGCAGCTGGGCGGGCCGACGTGGACGGTGCAGCTGGGTCGCCGCGACGCGCTGACGGCGAGCCAGAGCGCGGCGAACGGCAACCTGCCGGGGCCGGGGTCCGACCTCGCCACGCTCGTCACCATGTTCGGCAACAAGGGGCTGTCGCCGCGGGACATGACGGCGCTGTCGGGCGCGCACACGCTGGGGCAGGCCCGGTGCGCCACGTTCCGCAGCCGCATCTTCGGCGACGGCAACGTCGACGCCGCCTTCGCCGCGCTCCGGCAGCAGGCGTGCCCGCAGTCCGGCGGCGACACGACGCTGGCGCCCATCGACGTGCAGACGCCCGACGCGTTCGACAACGCCTACTACGCGAACCTGGTGAAGAAGCAGGGGCTGTTCCACTCCGACCAGGAGCTGTTCAACGGCGGGTCGCAGGACGCGCTGGTGAGGAAGTACGCCGGCAACGCCGGCATGTTCGCCGCCGACTTCGCCAAGGCGATGGTGAGGATGGGCGCCCTCCTGCCGGCGGCCGGGACGCCGACCGAGGTCCGTCTGAACTGTAGGAAGGTCAACTAAAGTCAACCTGATGACGAACGTGTCCAAGAACTACAAGTGTAGTGAACAGTCAAGATGGCTGTTTCTGCTCCTTTGGATTTATTTTTGTGATCTGGTTAATATTTTTATTATTTGTGGAATTAATAATGTTGCTGTAAACATCTTTTGATAGCTGCCAGTCAGTCAATGATCATCTGTAAGCATAAAAAAACGTTTGAAAATATGTTGCACATGTTTTTGTGACAAACTTGAAATCATGAATAGAGCTACCGAGCTAGAGTAGCACACTACGCAACCAGCATTCGACAAAGCCAACAACCACAGCTGATCAACGTGTGCTTTTTTTTTTTGTTCCCCTGAGCTACAGGAAATTCTTGGATCCGTCCCTGGGAACAGAAATATCAGCGCGCGGGCAAAGATAACATCTCCAGATCTCCTCCATCCAGAGCTACTAGGCTCCAGAATATCACGTTATAATTATAGTGCAAGTAGCGGCACACGGATCGAACATATATGGGATTCAAGTTGCATATGCCATACCAGGGCAGCATGAGGGGCCGGACGGCTGGTGACGCGCACGCACGCACATCGCTTCGTCGTAGTACAGAGTCGTCACGTTTGCTTCGGAGATTCATCTTTTATTATTATTATTATTATTATTATTATTATTATTATTATTATTATTATTATTATTATTATTATTTGAGAGAAGGGTATTTTTTTCACTGCATCCAAACCGGATATATGCAACATTTTAAATCGGAAACTTAGCTCCTTAAATAACCTAATCTAAAATTCGTTCTTCTGGATATTTAAACTCGGGGGACCATAAAATACTACTCAGATCACTGCAATCACTAAGCTACGAATGCCTTTTTCAGAGATTCATCTTGGGCACAATTTGGCTTGGTGATATCACGAGGCGTTGTTGCGTTCGCGCGGCCGGGCCCTGTGTTTCCCCGGCCACTTGGAGCAAAACGCCGGTGCTCGTGCAGTGCACGCACCAACACATGAGTCTTGTACCTGGAAAATGGCTTGGCTGTGCTCGCTATGCCGATCGACCATGCCTATCTATCCTGAAGTACTATTCTCGTCATCGCTTCCCCATTGCCCTCCAAACTCGAACTCACGTCTGATACGATGCATCCAGCAGCTCACGAAAGTTCAAAGGGGCAATTCCTTACATACCCCTAAAAGTTTGCTCCATCCCTTGCATGCCCTTGAATTTTGTCACATCCCTTGTATACCCCTGAGATTTCGTCTTGATCCCGTTTATACCCATACCATTAGTTCACCGTTATCTTTTTTCCAAAATGGCCATGTTGCCCTTTTTATAGTCATGTGATCACTTCAAAAGGCTAAATAAAGCTTAATGTGAACTTTTTAAATTTTGTATAGATAGTTGAGCCTAAATTTCAAAACCAATATTTATTTTTTGAAATATTTTTAATAGATTTTCAAGCAAGCTTTAACAAAATTAATGAAACTCATATAGAAGTTTCACCGAACATTTAGAAATTAAAACTATATTTAACTTGAATTTAAATATAAATAAGAATGTTTTATGAAATTTGATCTAAATTTTTAAAATTTTAAATTTAACTTTTCAAACTTTGAGGTCAAATAAACACATTCTTTTTGTTGTTTACTAATAAAATATTTTTCAACTCGAAAATTATGTTGGTGAAAAAGCTAGCGCATAGGTACTCTAAGTAGGGGTAATATAGTCATTTTGAAAATAACTTAATGGTCAACTGATGGTCAACTAACGGTATGGGCTTGGAGGGGATCAAAATGAAAACTCGGGTGCATATAAGAGATACGTCAAAACTCAAGGGCACAGAAGGGATGGAGCGAAATTTCAGGGGCATACAAGGAATTTTCTCAAGTTCAAAATGTTCAACGAAAGTTTTAGTTGGCTTGCAAAGGCGATATATTATCCTGGCAGATGCATTGGACTTGTTTCCTAGCTGATCCGCGTCGGTCGCACTATCCTTGTTAAGAAGTTCTTCTTCCTCGTTGTCACAAACTCACAATCAGTCACATGGTAGCCCATCAAGTAGAAGACAGACACACGTTCAATTGAATGTTTTTTGTTGACTGGAGTAACTCTATATTATAGCTGATTAGAAGGTTGCACCATCCTTGTTAAGAATTGTTATTCTTTTTGTTACTAATCGCTTTTTTTTTCTTTTCATGGTTTGGTGATGAAGCAGAAGATTTTGTTTTACTTTTTGAAACTTTTTTTTATAAAAAAATAAACTCTCACGGAACTAATTTTTGAATCATAACCTTCGGATGGCATTGCAAAACAATGCTAGACGCCAATCTGGTTTTATTTGGCCCCACCACTCTAGCTAACTCTAGCTAACGTAGCATTACAAAACTTGCTTATGTTGCGGGTGGCGCGAGTGTTGTTTTGCCACGCCATACGGATTGCTGGACAAAAGCTTCAGATTTTAGAGGGTTTATTTTTATAATTAAGAATTAAAAAGCTTTAGAAAATAATAAAAATTCGAAGCAGAAGACATACCATTACCACCATCTTCAAATAAGTTCCCAAAGGTCCTACAAAGCGGACGAAGAGGCGATGGCTCGATGTCGCCACATCAAGACGTTAACCGTGCCAAGAGAAAAAAAAGCCCAACAAACTAGTTTGATCCATGCTGCTGGGGTAGCTTTACAAAGGCCCACTTGAGTCATTATCCAGTATAATCTGACTGATGAAAACATTCATAGCCCTTCGATTCGAGTGCCATATTCTGTCGGATCACATTATGCGGTATCTCGACCATTATTATCTCCAAAATGCTAGAACTACAATCTTGTTTAAGAATAAACTCAGAATTACATTTCTTACAACAAATTGCAGAACACCGTGGATGACAAAGGTGGGCCATTTAACGCAGTCACATAATTGCTGAGCAGCAAAAAAAACTAAGAATCCCCTACCGAATGTTTCTTGAAGGTTTTTGTCCACAATCATTAACCCAGTGTCAAAAACAGCCATTCATCTAACTGCGGTCGGCCTCTATGCTTCATCACCAAACCATCCACAACTTGCAAGCCGGCTGTGTTCACTAGTGCAAAAAGGTTCGTTTAACTTGATTATATTTCGTTAGCTGGCTTGCACCTTGCTATTGTTATAATGATCAGCTGCCGCGGATAGCGATGGTATGGTTACAGGAAATCCAGGACCCATCTGCAAGGAATTCGTCCATTAAGACAATAAGACAATACCAACTTAAGGGCAAGTTGCAGAAAAAAAAAATGTCAGACAGAAACTGTACATATTGCAGTCGAAGATGACAAATTGCATAACTTGGGATATTTTCTCTTATACTCATGAACTTGCTTATGTGCAGCTTTTTACAACTTCAAAAGCATCCCAAGTTCCCAATGTTCAGTGAAGGTTTGGGTTGCAGTTTTATGAATACTTCTCATTGGACATTACAGACAGAACCAATAGGTGAATCATGTCAAGAAAACTTCAGCAGCATCCCAGATCCCAATAAATTAGCAACGTTCTCAAGTACCGAGCAGTATTTCCACCTTTCTCCCCACTAGAGAGAAACATCTACCTTTGAAGTCAATGGACTAGTTGGTATAGCCATAAGTTAAGTATACTGTTTTATTTTATTAACAATGTCCCAAAAACTTTCCTCAAGATGTCTGAGAACTTTCACGCAAACAGCACATTCAAGGTTGAAAAGTGAACATTTTTTTATAGTGCAGAGTTTTTTAATCTTATTTTCTTTTCGAGTAAATTTCACAAAACTACAGATTTAACAATAATTTATCACAAAACTACAGGTTTAACTGTTTAAGGCTAAGTATCACAAAACTACAGATTTAATAATAAAATTATGACAAAACTACAGATTTTGAGGTTTAAATCCTTAGAACAAATGTTATGCTTGAGTTATAAACATCAAACTTTTGTGATTAAATTGGTGCTAAACCTGTGTAGTTTTGTGATACTTCACCTCAAATCTATAGTTTTCTAGTAAATTTAGTGCTAAATCTGTAGTTTTGTGATAATCATCTTAGATCAGTAGTTTTGCGATAGTTTAGTTAATATATCTGTAATTTTGTGAAATTTACTCTTTTCTAAACATTATTATAATAATTACGATATAGTTTGACTAGGGTCCTTCCTAATATGGCCATAGCTAAAGATAAGCCTAGGTCTTTGTTTCCTGGTGCCTCCAATCCTATAGCTTTTACGGCTGTATGATTTAACATAACGGAATCTATTCCTTGCTCAGGGAGCCTACAAATAATGGACGCCATGAGAAGATGAGAAGTCCAGCTAAAGGCATTTAGCATTTTTGTACTATTTCTTGTGAAATATTCCATGATATCCCAATAAAATGGGAAAAAAATGCAGCATAGTTCTATTTTCACAAAATAAAGAAAAGAGAGAAAACTTACTGTGCTACTCAGTGTGAACTTCTTCACGTATCCAACATACTTTGAAGCTGAAAGAAATGGAGAACATTAATACCTTGTAAAGAGATTCAGAGAAACAACAAATAATAACACTATTGAAATGGAGCAAATAAAAAGAAGTCGAATGAAAAGAAATAGTCATTATCCATTTAGAATGATTTGATAGGCATTTTGCCACTGGAGTTGCAAAATGTGAAAATCAGATATATTTTCTATAAAACCTGATAGTGATTTTAAAAAAATGAAATTGTGGCACTGACAGTACAACACTAGGACCATAAATACCCAAGTCCAATCACATTAAATTTTTAGCATATTTACATTAAATTTTTAGCATATTTTCTTAAGACCGTGTGCTTAAACATTCATATGTTGATCAAAGTGCCAGTTTCATGCTAGGTGTCCAGAGTACTAAGGAGATGCAAGATACGCGATATAAATAGGCCACTTACTTTTCTTTAATCCCACTGGCTTGGCAAGTAGAAGTGCATGTACAAAAGCACCAATATTTTCACGCAAATTCTCATCAGAAAAATTTATCTGCAAAAGAATACAAACATTAATAAGGCGTGCAACAAAGCTGCAACACAAATATCGAATTTTCCATCAATGCTGATCTTCCGTACCTTCCCAAGACCAACATGCACTATAGCTGTTTTATCTATTTTGAAATCAACCCGGCCTGATTTTGCTGCTTTGACAGCACCAGAAACATCGTTTGTCACAGACCCTAGCTACAGAGCAATATGTCACGTTAATGATTCATGGTACCATAAAAAACATCAAGGCAGAACACTCCATACCATACAATACAAAAAGGACAGATATTTACCTTAGGATTTGGCATCAGTCCGCGTGGACCCAATATTCTAGCAACCTGAAATAGCAAAGCAGTCAAGAAATTAATAATATAGCAAACAGAAGATAAATTTGTATCAAGAAATAAGCATTACTACCTTCGAAAGACGAGGCATGTACATAGGGGTAGCAATGCACTTGTCAAAACTCAGTTTACCGCCTCCTATATAAATGGCCATAGATGAAAAAGTTCCAATCAACAGGGATGTTGAATATTGAAGATGCAAAACTACGAAAATACCTAACTGAAAACATACTGTGCAATGCAGTAACAAAAGACTGGACAGGTAATTATCTGCAATATCACTTTTTTTTTAAAAAAAAAAAGAGATCGAACAATTTCTATAACTTATACATGAAAAAAAAGATGTTAAGTATTTTAAAACCTTGTAAATGACTATTCATCTATATCTAATACTTATAATGCAGTAGGATAAAGTTTCCTGATAAAAAGGGCTAGAATTCCACACCTTGCATTTGTTCCTCAATGTACAATGTATCATGCATTGCAATTTGCAAATATGACTGTCGTTAGAAAGAAAAGAAGCTTATACAACAATTGGAGGAAATAAAGTACCTGTGCGGATCTCCTCAATCAGCTCGTCACCACCAACGACATCAGCTCCAGCAGCTCTAGCTTCATCTGCTGCAGGACCTTCTGCAAATACCGCTACCCTAACAGTCTAAAAGTAAAGAAGACCTCAGCACAAAACAGTCAAGAAAACCTAAATGTTACATTTAGAAAGGTACCTTGCCAGTGCCATGTGGCAAAGTTAACGCGCCACGCACCATCTGTAACCCAGGGAGAAATATGGTCAGTATAACTTTGCACCAATCCAACAATCACAACCAGATAAAAGAGATCATAAGATTGATTGATTGACTTGGTTATTGGATCATGCATCATAAAATCTATGTTCACCATTTCTTGTGCATTGCCAGTAACTTTCCACTAATCTAACAATCACAACTAGATGGGGTACAACAGAAGTAACAGAACACCATAATATCATTTCAGCAGTATCTCTGTTAACTTGTGTTGTATGCATCATGATTTCACCTTTCGAGGAACACTGGCCTCACAGCAAGAATAAACGCATAGACAGACACAAATCATTCCCATTACTGTAAGTAGTAGGTTATCTCAATCAGCATATCCTCTTAGGACATTTTTGCTGTCATAACTCATCACTAGTGGTTAGGACACAAGAAGAGTTGATACACACATAGTTCTAAAAAGCGAACAAAGAGGCTGACTAGGCACTAGGCGTCATCTTGCCACTTCAATTGCACCTTGGAGAAGAATTTGGAAGAGTTGGGCGCCTTTGAAATGCAAATTGTATATATGGTTGGCAATTAATAATCGTTGTTGGACAGCAGACCGGTTAGACAAGCGAGGACTTCAACACCCACCTACATGTCCATTATGTGATCAAGCTCAGGAAACTATTAATCACATCCTAGTCACTTGTGTGTTTTCTCGACAAGTATGGTGTTTGGTCCTGCAACGGCTTGGCTACTCTAGCTTTCCAACCCAGGTTACTGCTAGGTTTGCCAATTGGTGGTCAAGAACGGTAAGGGGTTTACCTACTAATGAGAAGAAAGGGCTAAACTCTTTAATCATCTTGGTCGCTTGGGAAATTTGGAAGCACATGAACAATGTGTGTTTAATGGCGCTACCCCATGCTTGGCCGATGTCCTCCGAGCCATCGCTAATGAGAGCGCTCTTTGGCGCCTAGCAGGAGCTGCTAGGCTCCGTGATCTCTTTACTAGGACTGGGCTACTAATGCACTAGTTTGGGTTTTCTTTTTCCTTTGGGTGTGTGCTATTCTCTTGTATCCCTGGTGGGCGGGTGTCGGAGTCTTTCTCTAACACCGTACACCTTTTCTTATCTATCTTAATGAAATGATACACAGATCTCCTGCAAGTTCTAAAAAAAATGTCACTAGCCAGTCTAAGGCCCTCTTTGTTTGGGCTTATAAGCCAGAGCCCAAACAAATGGACAGCTTTGGCTTTTTAAGTCATAAATCATAAGCATCCTTATTAAGTCAAAAGCCAGGTTTGAGTAGCTTGTTTTGGTTTATGTGGATTAGTGTTTGGACTACACCCTTGACATTGCGACATAAAAACTACTGGCTTATTAACCATAAAAGCTGAAAATGAAAAGTCAGCTTAAAAACCTAAGCGGAAACAAAGGGGACCTAAGCATATTTCATATACTTATGCAAGGTGCAGCTACAATTCTACAAACTTTACATTGCTTCTTTGAAAAATGGATGTACAGGAACATGAATTCTTGATGTTTGCTTCTTCTGAAAATAGCATGTCTATTTGTCATTCTGGTATTCTAATACATTTCTGTTTAAACATGGATTTTGCACTGTCAGCTGTGCAGGGGCCTCTAGGGTCTCTATGTCCTACTGATACCTGCCTAGCACATAATGCTTTCTAAACACAGTGTACAAACCCACTAGCTGAAATAAAGGCTGGCTGGATTGAGTATAAGGACATGGAAACTAAACCAGCTATGAAAACCTGTCTTGAAAGTAAAGCAAGCAATGAAGCCGGCAGTCAGAAATGCAATGTAATGACTAATGACAATGCTACACTTCCATGTTAGAGAAGTAAGCAATAAAAACTTAGCACTACAAAATTATCTAGTTTATACATATAGCGCAGCAAACCTGGTCACCACGACGTGGATCAACACCTAACATTACATGAGCTTCAACTGTTTCGGTAAAATTCCGCTTCTTTTCATTTGCACTGGTCTGGAAACAGAAGAGCGAAAAGTAAGAAAACTTCATTTTTCATCAGCCAATTAGGTTGATTTTCATGTTTTAAGAAAGAGTAAAGCATGCAAAAAGTTGCTTAACCCAATATTTCTATGGAACTTTCCAAGTTTTCATGTCATCTTAACTTGTATGACTATCAAATAAAGTATTGAACCATTAGATTGCAACATTGAATAGAGGATCTAAATGTATAAACCAACATCTATCTACAATAAAACATAATATCTAGGGCTGTAACCAACATTGGAGAAACAATATTTGTAAAAGATCATATTCTGCTCCAAATAGCATAAAATTGAAGCAACAAAGGAAATAAGATGGTAAAACGTTTGAACAGATATTTTTTAGTGAATAAATTTGCAGAAATTTTCAGGATTTTGCCAATATCAAATTTAAGTGTTTTATCTATAATTCTCTCACTAACTAATGGAAAGAAGTGGTGGGACCAGGGTTCGACTTACCGTCGGTAACCGCGCGGTTACCGAGCTTACCGCGGGGGTACGGTAATATAAATACCGCGGTAACCTCCTTAAATTCAAATAAATTTAAAAAATAATTTGAATTTTTGATAAATTTTGCACGGTTTTGTACGGTTTTTCACGGTTACCGTGTGGTAACCGTGCTTACCGCCGGGGCGCGGTAACCCCGGCCCCGGCGGTTTGGGAAACCCTGGGTGGGACTGAAGGAGTGGAAAGTTTTGAACACTTCGTAACTAAGAGGTGGCCATACCAAATTATCTGATGAGCTATAGTTCTTTCAGAAGTAAACAGATGTATGTTTTAAAAATGACACAATACTTGCATGATCATGTTTATTTTCAGTAGCTATTCCGTGTATAGCAGAGAAGACAGTCATTAGACTGAGCTCAACCAACTTCCCAGGCTTCCACATCAAAATCGGTATGAGATTTGCATATGTTTGAACTTCCTATCGCCGATCAGGCAATCACTAAAATACCAGTTGATCTTTCATACTAGTTCAGCAGTTCTGCATTGATATTTGATAGTGATGCTGCAAAGCTAGCCCTGTACTGACATGCAACTGCCAGAATGACAGTCGAATGTAAAGTTTGGATCTACTAGTATCTATTACCCAGGTGCCAATTACACCGTAATAGAAAAATGCATCACCACATCATGGGTATTATCTTCAAATGCAAAACGAATTGCAATTCAAACCGCACGGAGAAAAATCACGAGCAAGAGTGACAGACCTTGATTTCGCGGATGGCGTCGACGAGATCAATGGCGACCTTCTGCGGCCGCTTCTCGACGGGTATGAGCGTCGGGTATGGCGCCTGCTCCTCCTCCGCCTGCATCCCGAAGAAGCTCCTCCTGGCCCGCGTGGCGTCCATCTCGATCCGCTCCCCCTCTCCCCGCAGCCCCTCGTCCGCCGGCCCCTCCGGGGGTGCCTCCTCCGCCGGACGGTCCTCCGGCAGCGGCGCGACCCTGGCCGGGTACGACACCGGCGTGATCGAGGGCCCCGCGTCCTTCACGAACCGCATCTCCTCCCGCGTCCACTGCTGCCGCTGTGGCGGCCCCTGCGATCTCCTTGGCGGCGGCGGGGGCCGAGACCCGGGGTCATCGCTCGGGGCAGCCTCCTCCGCGGCGGCGGGAGCCTCCTCGGGCGCTGGCTGCGGCTTCGGGGCGTAGGACACGGGCTTGATGGGCGGCGGCGTTGGGCCGGAGCCGGAGCCGGAGCCGGTGTTAGAGGAGAAGCGGAGGAGCGAGATGAGACGGTGCGGCTGGGGGTGGTGGCGGCTGGAGTGGGAGAGGAGGAGGCGGAGGTGAGCCATGGCGATGGCGGGGAGTGGCGGCGGCCGGCGGCGGCTGGCGAGGCCTGGGGTTTTAGTGGGGTGTGGGGAGAAGGGGAGAGAGATCGAAGATCGAAGCGAGTGTGAAATGGAGGCACCGGTACTGGGCCGGATCGGTTTTGTTGATGGGCTTTTTCCGTGCGAGTTTATGTGCTGGTTCAGCCCAGATGCTCAGTCATGTGGGTTGGGGATTTGGGCTAAATATTGGGCTGTTTTTCTGTTAGCTGGGAAGGAATAAGTCCACTAAGACGTCCTCAAAGATAGGTCGAATGTAATTCGTATCTCTCAATTATAATTTCAGATATCTTACCCTGTAACTACTAAAACCGGTGTAAAATATAGCTGGTTGACCCGATCCAACCGGCTGACTTACCATGTGAGACCCATAGGTTAGTGTCACATTTTCTTCTCCCCTCTTTATTCACTTTGACTTCCTTAAAAGTGACCCGAATCTAATCCGTAACCCTCAACCACAAAACCGGATAGGATGACTCCCCGAACTATTGAAACCAACACAATTTGACTCTTTTAGCGGTTTTGGAGAGCGGTTTTGCTGATGTGGCGTTGACGTGACGATGTTGACCTAGTCTTCGTCCCACGTGGCGCTTATGTGGCATTAGAATTAAAAGAAATATCTGTGGGACCCATATGTGATTCACACATAAAAATATTATGGGTTCCACTGCCATGTATTCTCTTGGTCAATTGGTCGAACACCTAATGGCTAAACATTACCCTGACGCATGATTCCACGATTTTACTAAAAAATCCTGAAGAAATTGGACGGCATTGCTACATACGATGCATTTCACCAGTTGATTCTCCGTTCTTTAATGAAATTTAAATGCAAACGACAATTCTGGATATTACGGTCAGAACATTTCAACACCTCAGATCAAGAATCTCACCACCGAAACAAGAAGCGATGAACATGGTGAGGCAAGAGCACGGAGGTAGTGTGGAGATTATGGATATCCCATATCTACACGGCGATGATATTTGGACTGAATATAGGATACCGAATATAGATAGAATATCTTATGTGTATCCTGGGTTTGTTTCTTAACTTGTTCATCAAGGAAACACCTTGAGACTTAGTCGGTCACGACTGTATTTTATCTGTATTTACATATTCCGTTAGGGATATAGATTATCTTTTGTAACACGGACTCTTTCCCATATATAAGGGGGGTCCGGGTGCCTCTAGGGGCGGATGTTGGATTTTCTCCAAATCATACAATCAATAACACACTCGGCGGATTCATCCCCGGACAGGAGTAGGGTATTACTTCTTTTATAAGAAGGCCTGAACCTGTATAAATCCTTTGTCTCCAAACCCATACACTTTTCTAGCTTGATAGCCACCCCCTTTTATTATTGCCGAAATCTAGTTTCGACAGTTGGCGCGCCAGGTAGGGGTAGCGTCAAGCTTTTCGCCGATCAGTGCAATGGGTTTCGTCTCCGGCATCGACGACCTCGTCTTCCCGCCCGGGCAGACGTTTCGGTTCGGCAGCCTCGACTTCGTCACCAACAACTTCGGCAAGATTTCTCTCCTCGACTCGGAATCAGACCAGTCGGGAGAGAACCGGATTTCGGTCCCGTTTGGATTCCCGAACGCGGCTGAAAGCTACTTCAAAACCATCTCAACCGAGTCGGCTTCAAACCACTCGGCCGAGATCGCATCTTCTCCAACGACACCAGATCAAGATGATGGGGCTTACCCACCAGTCCTGATGAAGCTCCCCGACGATTTAGCGGCCGTTTCCACCACGACAACGTCTTCATCCCGTAGGCCTAGGCGGAAGTCGGCTTTAACACCGATTTCGCCTAGCTTCAGGGAAGTCGGCGTCATCCTCCAACCACTCGGCACGGTTTCGACGGATCAGCTGGATGACTACAACAGCTCTCCCACCGTCGACTCACGTCCTACTGACATCGTGGAGTACGACGAATTTAGTTCTCGCTACAACGACTTCGACGACTTCGACGGAAGCCTTGATGACAACTACACCCCTCTCTACTTTGGCGTTTTCATGGCCAATAATGAGACGGAGGAGCAACGCCAAGCCCGGGAGACCGAAGAACGTCGCCGACTGGAGGAGGAGCATCAAGCACAAGAACAAGAACGGCTACGGCGTGAGCAGCAGGACCGTGAGCGGACCGCGAAGGAGGCTGAGGATCGACGTCAGCGAGCTTTGGAAGCAGGGCGCCGAGCGCGTGATCTCATCGGCCAGCAAGATGTCGAAGGGACACCAGTTTTCCGCACCCCTCAACAGAATGCGGTTGCCGCGATCACCCTTCTCGACACCCTCCTCAACCAAAACGAGCTCAATCAATCCGATCACGTCGTCAACATCCTGAACCAGACGAAGACCATGATTGCGGCTTCGGTCCCAGTTAACTCCGAAAGCGTCCACACGCCGACTGGCAGCCGAGTCCCCCACTTCCGATCTCATGACTACCGTCATCCAAGCCTCAGCATCACCGGCGCAGGATCCAACCGCAGGAGCAGGGGTCACGACGAGCGGTCCGTTCACTCACCTCCCGATCACCATAGGGAGCGCCGGGTGGAACGACCTCGCTCACCACCTCGTCGTCGCCCCATCGATCTTCGTGACACAATCATACAGCGTCGAGCAGCTCGAGGCTACCATCACTCGCCGGACCGCCACGACGACGACCTTGACGGAGTAGCAGCCTTCACCGACGACCTGCGTCGAGTGGATTGGCCAGCCGGCTTCAAGCCGACTGGAATAGAGAAGTACGACGGCACCACTAACCCCGAATCGTGGCTTACCGTCTACGGTCTCGCAATCCGCGCAGCAGGAGGAGACAACAAGGCCATGGCGAACTATTTACCAGTGGCTTTAGCAGATTCCGCCTGATCTTGGCTCCATGGATTGCCCCGTGGTACAATTGGATCTTGGGCTGAATTACGTGACCACTTCATCGCCAACTTCCAAGGCACCTTCGAGCGTCCCGGCACACAATACGACCTCTACAACGTTATTCAGAAGTCCGGAGAATCCCTTCGAGATTACATCCGGCGATTCTCTGAACAACGCAACAAGATCTCCGACATCACCGACGACGTTATCATCGCCGCGTTCACCAAAGGGATTCGCCACGAAGAATTGGTCGGCAAGTTCGGGCGCAAGCCTCCCAGGACAGTCAAGCTTATGTTTGAAAAAGCCAACGAGTACGCCAAGGCTGAAGACGCCGTCACCGCATCAAAGCAGTCGGGTCCCAGTTGGAAGCAAAACAAGGGTACGCCGGCTACGGGAGGAGGTGGAAGTAACAATCATAAGGACCGCAAGCGTAAGCCTGCGGAACTTGTTGCAACCGCCAGTCACTCTTCTCGACAGCGTTCGCGCGTCAACACGTTCGACAAGATCATGAACTCCCAATGCCCGCACCATCCTAACTCCAACCACGTGGCCAAAGATTGTTTCGTCTACAAGCAATTCGCGGATCAATACACCAAGACTGCACGGAAGAATTCTGACGAAGAACAAAGCACGTCGAGGAAGAAGGACGACGACGACACCCCGGCAGGTTTTCAAGATCACCGCAAGGAGCTCAACCATATCTTCGGCGGCCCCCTGGCTTATGAGTCTAAACGGAAGCAGAAGTTAACTGAACGGGAGATCAATGCTGTTCAGCCCGACACGCCCCAATATCTTCGATGGTCAGAGATCGCAATCAAGTTTGACCGCTCGGATCATCCTGACCGAGTGGTCCACCCGGGGCGGTACCCCCTGGTACTAGACCCAGTGGTCCGTAATGTCAAGCTTCGCAGAACCCTCATCGACGGTGGCAGTGCACTCAATATCCTCTTCGCCAAGACCCTGGATGATATGCAGATCCCTCGCTCCGAGTTAAAACCAAGCAATGCGCCTTTTCACGGAGTGATTCCAGGATTATCCGCAACTCCACTCGGCCAGATCACCCTCCCAGTCACTTTTGGCACTCGGGAAAACTTTCGCACAGAGAACATCAGCTTTGAAGTCGCTGATTTCGAGACAGCATACCATGCCATACTCGGACGCCCGGCGTTAGCCAAGTTCATGGCCGTCCCGCACTACACTTATATGATGATGAAGATGCCTGGTCCCCGAGGAGTCCTATCCCTACGGAGTGACATCAAGCAAGCCGTCACATGCGACAAGGAGAGTTGCGACATGGCCCAAACTCGCGAGATGGCGTCTGCCCGAGAGGATATCCGACTGGCTGCAGCCACGGCGAGCGAAGGAGAAGAGCCCGCTACCAAGATTTCAAAGAGTGGAGAAAGCGAAGCCAAGACTAAGAAGATTCCCCTAGATCCCTCTGATCCTACTAAAACTGCTGTAATAGGCGCCGAGTTAGATTGTAAATAGGAAAGCGCGCTCATCACCTTTCTTCAGAACAATAAAGATATCTTTGCGTGGAAACCATCTGATATGCCCGGTATTCCTAGAGAGGTGATTGAGCACTCCTTACATGTCAAAGAAGATGCCAAGCCTATCAAACAACGACTCCGCCGATTCGCACAAGACAGGAAGGACGCGATCAAGGAGGAATTAACCAAGCTGTTAGCAGCAGGCTTCATCAAAGAAGTCCTTCATCCCGACTGGCTGGCAAACCCGGTTCTAGTTCGGAAGAAAACAGGGCAATGGCGCATGTGTGTTGATTATACCGACCTCAACAAATCCTGCCCTAAAGATCCTTTTGGGTTGCCTCGCATTGACCAGGTAGTCGACTCGACCGCCGGCCGTGAGCTTCTCAGTTTTTTGGATTGCTACTCGGGGTATCATCAGATCCGACTGAAGGAATCCGACTGCTTGAAGACTTCATTCATCACGCCTTTTGGGGCATACTGCTACGTCACCATGCCGTTCGGACTAAAAAACGCAGGAGCAACTTATCAACGCATGATTCAGAGATGCTTCTCAACGCAGATCGGCCGCAACGTTGAAGCCTATGTGGATGACGTAGTCGTCAAGACCAAGCAAAAGGATGATTTGATCTCGGATCTAGAAGAAACCTTTGCGAGCATCCGTGCTTTCAGGATGAAATTGAACCCTGAA